AGGCGAGACGTTCATTAAGGCACTGAATGCAAAATGGCCACATCCCACGGACCCTTGCAAGCAGGAGATGTGTACATATGGACCGAGCGGCAGCACGCAAATCATAACAACGACAGAGACCTGTGATACTTTCTGTCCGCCTGGTTTTACTTATGCGAATAAGCAGCCCGCGGTCAAATGTTGCGGCGAGTGTGTGCAAGAGAAATGTGTGCTCGACAATCAGCTGTACGAAGAGGACGCCATCTGGACGAGCGCCGATAACTGCACGATCTACAGCTGTCAGCGGAAAGGTGAAGTGTTGATAGTGTCTTCTTCGCAAGAAACGTGCCCAGATGTGAGTGGCTGCCCGGCACACTTATTGGTGACCACCGAAGGGGGTTGCTGTAAATTATGCAAGAGTGAACCTCCGGCCGAGGACCAGAGTAAGTTGGGTGAAAGAGTGTAAGGGTAAGAAAGTTATTTAATTTTGCTGAATTTACAGAGAATTGCCTCCCGGTCAGCTTGGTTGAACCGCTGACAGTAGAACTAATAGAAATTGTACAGCCCGGTGTGGGTAAGTGTGTGAATAAAGCACCCATACAGGGTTTCACAGACTGCGAGGGCGCTTGTTCGTCTGGTTCGAAATACAATAAAGACTCGGCTACGCACGAGAAGCATTGCCACTGTTGCAGTATTAAGAGTTGGAAAGCAGTAACTGTGCCACTGATTTGTGAGAATGGCAGCAAGCTAGAGAAAAAGGCAAGTACAGGGATCCCGAAATGAAACGAAACGCAGTGACTATGATTAAATAAGACTAAGACTAAGAAGAAGATCAAGGCTGAGGCTAAGAATAAGCGAAAGACTACTATTGAGACTAAGATTAAGACTAAGGTTAAAGTCAGCACTAAGACTAAAACTAAGACTAGGCCTAAGACGAAGACTAGGACTAAAACTAAAACTAAGACTAAGGCTAAGACAAAACTAAGACTAAGAGTAGGCTAAGGCTAAGACTAAAACTAAGACTAAGGCTAAGAATAAGACTTAGGCTAAGACTGAGGCTGAGACTAACAGGACAATTCTGGCTAAGATAGTACAACATCTTTCGGAAGATAAATGAAAGACAGATGGCAAGATAGTTGGAAAGACTTGTGTTATTCTATCACAAAAGTCTTATAAAAAAAGCTCTCTGATTCACCACTTGTGGTGAAAAGCTATTGTGAGAGAAAGCACTTGTATATCATATAACTCGCGCCACTCGCGAGACATCTGAGTTCGAGTCCTGGCGCAGAGGGACTTTTTTAATTATTGTTTTTTTAATAAAATTTTTTTCCTTTTCAATTTAATTTTTCAGAAATTTTTTTTAAAAGCCAAATATATATTTTTTTAATTCAATTAAATTTTTAGGAACTTATTTATTTTTTATAATTAGTATATATTTGTATATATTTGTTTTTTTTTTTTAATTTTTTCAGTTAGGTTTTATTATGTAGGAAAGAAAAACAGTTTTTTTTAATTAAATTTTTTTGGAAATTCGTTTTATTTATTTCTTCTTTTTTAAATTTAATTTGTTACTCTTTTGGTTTTTATATTTCATTTGCTTTAAATTTTTTGATTTTGCTGTTTTAAATAGAAAAATATATTTTTCATTTCATTTAATTTTTAGTTTCTTTTGTCTTTTTATAATACAAATATTTTTTACCTAATTTAAGTTTTAAGTACTATTTCCTTCTTTTTTGATAAGTTCTTTCCTGTTTCTAATTTAATTTTCTTCTATTTATTAATTTTTATTGTTTTAAAACGAAAAGCACACATATAAGTATGATTTTTTTTATTAAAAAAACTGATTGCTAAATAGCGAACGGGTTTTGCTTTTGAAAGACTGTGGTGAGTTGAAAGAAAATTGCCAGAATTGCCCTGTTAGTCTAAACTAAGACTACGCCTCAGTATAAGACTAAGAATAAATTCCAAAATCAGCCGAAGACTAACAAAAATTACATCTTTTTTACTTTTCACAGGTTGACGTCCCGGCAAGCTGCGGTTGTAGCCCTTGCGCTGAGAACACTGACTATGAAATTGGTGATAAAATTGATGTGCGAATGCAAACCTTACCCAAAATTCTATCTGGCCAGCTATCAGTGCTTTGAAGCTACAACGAAGAAGTCCACGGATCAACGAACGATAGCTACACTTAGAATTAGGACTTGTTGCTAAGTTATAATAAATACAATTAACATTCGAATATAAAAATAGAAAATATGTTTGCGTTTTTTTTTTCAACGACTTTTGACAACCTTAAGTAATGTAATGTGAGCGCGCTGAATACTTTTTATTTGGCATCATTTTGTATTTTATAACCTCAGCTAATAATTTATGAGTTGTGGTGCTGTTCGTGGCCGCGCCTTCTTCTGCCGTTCTTCCCTTGGTTTGGCAAGCAATCAGTGAAAGTTCATCACCTCTGCAGACCCACCTACACTTCTCAGTTATTTACTAACTGAGTGCCAGCAGCCTTTCTCTCTTTGCTCTTGGTCTTAAGTGGTATTAGCTACTTGCATTCAAATGGCAGCATCCAGGTGCTATATATGTATGTACGTAAGCCTTTGCCATTTTGTGAGCTTGCAGATTTATTGCAGCGTCTGCCACGTAATCGAAGTGTCGTAAAATGAATTGCAACAAGCAATGATTTGAAGTGACTATTCTGTTTATATGTATGTATTTTGCATTTATTTTAATGCTTCTGTAGTAATTCATGAATATTCAAAGAGTCTTGTTGTCGGCCAAAAGCTCAACTCTTCCAAGTGGAGCTTAAATTGTAGAGGCGTATAGTAAAGCTGCAGCTTACTTAAGAGATTTTTTTCAGCAAAGTATTTAAGAATGAATATGAAAAAGATAGAGTTTTAAAATAAAAAGGTAATAAACTACTTTGTGTATTTAATTAGAAAATTTAATTCTTCTAGTTTACATTTTTTTTAACATTTATTTTTGTATGCGCTAAACTTTTCTTGCGACACATTGCCATTTTTAACAAAAGTTTTCCTCTTCTCATTTCCTCTTTCTTATACTTCGTAGAACCATCGAACAATGCCTTTTGTTTTCATGCAAAAATTGAATTTGGAATAACCGCCCATCGATGGTAATTTTACTGGCAGTCTGCCAAGTAGCAATGACTAGTCAGCCGAATAGTAAATTTTATAAAAGAAGAGAAGATTCGCTTAAAAAGTACCTAACTAAAACGGAAATAAAGTAGTAAATGTGTTCGAAAATCGTAAATGGCCCAAGCCGGCCCCTTATTCCATGTGTGGGCGTAAACAACACTCATAACTCATAAGTGAAACGATATGCAAACCAAGTGAGCGAGTTGAGAGTTTAATTGCCTGTAAGCATGGTAGGCCTTATAGACGCTTGAGTGGAAAAAATAGGTTGCAAAATATGCCAAGCACAAAAGCTTGGGAAGGTAAGCGTAATTTACTGCCTTGAATTTCGAAAAACATTTCTGTAACAACGAGCAATTGAAGCGAACAAAACTGCAATGTGGTAAATAATGCCTTTAAGTAGGTGTACATGACGTATGAATAACCAATTTTTGAATGAATTGAAGTTTAAACAAATCTCTCATCATGTCGAACGAAGATGAGAAGGGTTTGGGCGCTTTCGAGATAACTATTCTACGACAGTTAAGTGCATGACGACAAATTGCGAATTTCAGTTTTGTAATCAGCGACTCGAAGAAGATTTGGATATCGAATTTCTTAAATAACTGACACTTTTTTAAAAATTCGTCCGCGATATTTGATCCGCCATTTTCATTTTTTGAAAACTCATTTCAGTTTTGTAATCAGCAACTCAAAGAATCTTTGGATGTCAAATTTCATAAAAATCTGAAAATTTTTTCAAAATCCATTCGCCGTATTGGATCCCCCATTTTGAATTTTTAAACACTGATTCGAGTTATGTTATTAGCTACCCAAAGAACTATCGCATATCAAACTTCATAAAAATCTGAAAACTAAAAAAAAAATCCAACCACCATATAGGCTCCGCCATTTTGAATTTTTTAAAAAATTACTTCGGATTCTTAATCAACAATCTCAAAACCCCTTGCCTACGAAGTTTAGTAAAGTTCAAAAAATCACAAGCAATATACTACTCACCGATTCAGCATAAGGTTTGAGGGTTGTTTTTTTTCCATAAAAACCGTAAATGACTTAATCTAGAAAAACGGCAAAATAGGGGTACTATTTTTTCCCCATCCTTTTTTGTCGCTACTTTCAGAAAACGCTTGAATTTTTCATGGGCGCAAAATCGTGGCGGACGACATTATATAGTAAAAAGCCAAAAGAAAGCAAAGGTAAAATATAAATATTCACTTGACAATTTCCGAGACCCCCAAAAAGCCTGGATTAATGCGTGGAAAGTCACGAAAATTTTAAATAAGCCTGGAAATAATTGCAAGTCTTAAAAAAAAACAATTACTAAATTCTCTATAGTTGTCAATATCACTATGGAAAAAGGAATTTTCTGTTCTTTTTAATAAATATAATTATCATTATTTTTATCGATATAGTTATTAACTACCTATTATCGGTCAGTCGGAGATATTTTATCGATATCGTTTATGACAAATTTAGTTATATATGCAGTTATTGCTGTGATATTTTATCGATGGTGTTATTGATATGCTTTTCATAGTTTTCGATATCTACATTAATATTTGGTATATATTAATACTTTTACCCTTCCTCGAAGTCGAATTTATTAGGAGAAAAATTTTTCAAACAGATAACAAAGTAAAATTACGAGTGTGTTTAGTATTTAGGCGCCAGGGTGGCTACAACGTAATCCGATTTGAAAGCGTTTTGTTCGAAAACGAATTTTTCTTACCATGTAATTCATTTTCCGCTTGTAATTTAAAAATGTTTTATTTTAAACGTCATTATTATTTTTTGTTTTGACATTTTTTGCAATTGCAAATGCAACATTAAAAAAGCTATGATCAACAACTTTTATTACTTAAAGATATTGTAAATTATTAGAACATTGAACAAGTGCTTAACCTATACAGTGTTTTAATCGAGTAGTCAAAGTTCAAAGGGGGCATATTATATTAAAAAAAAAGTAATTTTCCTGCCTTGTTTCCATGAGGCGATTTCTTAGATTTTTAAGACCTAAAAACCTATAAAAAAGGCAAAATAAAATTATGAAATAGGCAAGAAAAGGCAAAATAAAATAACAAAATATGCAGGAAAAGGCACTAGAAATCGCAAAAAGGCAAATGAAGGCACTAAAAATGACAAAAACCGAAACATAGTAATAAAAGGCATTTATTTTAGAAATGTTTATTTTACAATGGAAAAGGAGAAAAACTATGCACTAGCTTCATTATATGAAAAATGTGTACTTTGATTCTTTGACTATTTTCCCCTTTCGAGTTTTAAACTCAAAAAATTTTAACCTCTATACAGGGGCGGCGGAAGGCGTGGGTATGGTGGGTAGTACTACCCACCTGAAATTTTTTAAGGTGGGTAATTACCCAAATATCCAATTGAAAGAGTATGTTCGGAAGATATATTACGAAATTTTGAACCAAGTCATTTTCTCACTGACAAGTAAATTTGATACTGAAACGGCAAGGTTTTATAAAATTTTAGAAAAGTTCATTCTTGGTGAGACAGTAGATTTGAAAAAAGGAACAGTCCAACGCCTTCGTCTTGGTCTGCAGGCTTTATCGGAGATACAGCCGCTAAATTTAAACGTAGAATACGTGGTATGGTTAAGAGCATATCCGAGTCAAAAACGAAAGCACACACTAAGAAAAAATATCGATAACAAAAGCGAAAATAATATCGATAGCAAAAGCGATGAAAACATCGAAAAAGATCGATGAAAATATCGATATCAAAATATCAATAACAAACGCGATAACACTATCTATAGCAAAGTTGATAAAAAATATCCATAATAAAACCGATAAAAATATAAATAACAAAAGCGATAACAATATCGTTAGCAAAATCAATAAAAATATCGTTACAAAAAACCGATAAAAATATTGATGACAAAATCGATAAAAATATCGACAACAAAAACGATAAATATATCGATAACAAAATCGATAGCAAAATCGATAATAATATCGGGAGCAAAAATGAAAGCAAAATCAATAAGAAAATCGATAACATAACCTATAGCAAAATCGATAAAAAAATGTCGATAACAAAATCGATAAAAAAATGTCGATAACAAAATCGATAAAAATATTGATCATTATATCGATAAGTTCCAAAAATATAGATAGCAAAATCAGCGACAGTGATAATAATATCGATAACAAAATCGGTAATATAACAAAATCGATAAAAAACACCGACAAAATATCGATTGTATGTCGATAAGTCCCGAGAAACCTGAAAATCTCTAAAAGCCCGAAATACTTAATTCCCAGATTGAGTCTCTGTGCCTCTATCTATATCCTTTTCTCTAAAACTAACTTTATTTTAATCTTTCTTCCTCGATCTTCATCTATACTTTTATCGGTATCCGCATCCTCATCTCTTTCTTTATATTCATCTTTGTTTCTATTTTTATGTTTATCATATTCTTTATATACATATTCCCCTTCGCCTTTTTCTTATATAAGTAAAGTGTTTAAATTTACATTAGTCTTCATTTTTGCCTGTATCTTTGTATAAAATTACATTAACTGCAATCAACATATGTACGTATGTATATTTATTTTAGAAATGTTTATATTACAAGTAAAAAGAGAAAAACTATGCACTAGCTTCATTATATAAAAAATTCGTACTTTGAATCTTTGACTATTTTATCCTTTCGAGTTTCTAACTCATAAAACTTTAATCTGTATAGTTGTAGTAACATTGAACCACAAGATGCATTTTGAAGTTTTCTGGCAGCATTTTCAGAAAAGCCTTGAATGTACTGTGCGCTCGACGTAAGTTGATACAAGTGGAGCCCAATTTAAATATGGAACGTTTGAAACGTTCATATTATCAGGAATAAGGACGTTTTCCTCGCCCTTTACAATTTTATCCACACCCCTTATTGTCTTCAAGCCTACGTTAGCTGAGAAAACGGCTTTGAATTTTTTCAACACCAATTTGGCAAGAGGTCCCTGCGCTTCTATAAGCCGCATGGGAATGCGTATATTTTTTAATCTTAAAAAAAAAAATTGTAAATGCTATGATCACTTTTTTTAAGGTAGAAAAGGCAAGAAAAGGCAAATATCTTAAAAAAGG